ATTAGCATAGCTACTCTCTTCCCTAATAAGCATCTAGCCTGAAACTTCTAGGGAAAGGAAACTTCTCCTTTCCCTGGGGTGCATGCTGCCCATGTTTGAAGACCACCTCCTTGGACATTAGGGAGTCCAAGTCAAACCTGCTGTCATGTCACTAAACCCTAGGCTTTCCCTTTATTTTACATTCTCCTAATGTACCCATAGTCACAATATCTCATAAATTAGTGAAGGAGTTTCAGGGGCCAGAGCTATGTTCACTGAGATGATAAATAACAGAGCAGAATGCACCTTCCTATAATGCCCAAAAGCATTTATCTTCATAAACCAAGAGATCAATTCTTTCCCAAGCACCAATCACACTTTAAAGATGGCCAGAAAAACACAAATACAATCTGTTTTGGGTGCCATTCAATTTTCCTTCTCTTCTGGGACAAGCAATTTGTAGAATGGTGAGAAAATGTTTTCAAAGCTCTGTGCCAAGGAAGACCAGCCATTGAGTCACTCTAGAGAATGCATGTGAACCAGAGCCAAAGAGACTAGAGAGAGGCAACGGTTTACCTCTGGAACACTCACCCAGTTGGGAAAAATAGCTCTCACTGTAAATGGAGAAAGTTAATCTAAGACCAGAAGGTGAAGTGTTAGGGTTAATAAGTATGGCAAGCAGGAGCCTTTGTTAACCCAAGCACCATTACCCCCAGGACTAGTATGAGCATTAATTAGGAAAAGAATCTAGGATGTCTTTTAGGGCCATTAGTTCGCTGCACCTGTTTTTAAAACAAGTAACTTAAGCCTCCACTCAGAATCTGGGGCTTCTGAGTTCCTAAGTTTCCATATCAGTGAATCATTTCATTGCAAATGACATTCCATGGAAAAGAAAGAACAAACGCCTAGGGCCCAACAAATGCCCGGGTCACCACTCCAAGCTTCTGAGATGACGCAAACCAAGTCACAAACCAAAGTGCATAAACAGGCTGAGCACTCTGCTAAACGTTTTGAAGCCAAATGATGTCCAGTAATTGTTGGACCGGTTTCTAAATTAGAAGGTCGTGACTGTAGAGCTGGGGAGAGGGAAGGGCTGCTGTGCTGCCCTGAGACTGGCTGCATTCTCAGCTCTGTGCACTGTTTTCAAGGCCACCGATTCATCCAGCACTGGCTTGTCTGAGTTTTTTTCTTACTGCCATTATCATCCATTCTAGACTCCACTCCCCTTGAGCCTCAGCCCTTGCCAGCAGCCCAGGACTGCTCTCTACTCCACAAACACAAACTCATCCCAGCACTTAACCTACCCAGAACTCAATCAGCGTCTCTGTGCATTCACCAACTGCCTCTTGTCAGAATCACCAGGGCTGACTGTTTACAATGTGGATTCCCTGGTCTCATCACATATCTATGGAGTCAGAATTTCCTGGAGCTGGCCTTAGGGCATTTATATTTTAAACAAGATCCCCAGGTAATCCCCATGTGCTTAGAAACCAATATTTCAAGGAACAAAAATCTCTGCAACAGGAAATGCGGATGTTATTTAGTTAGCCTTTGGAAACCATTTACTTTAGCTCTAATTCATGCACGACCTTTGAGGTCTTAACCAATTGCAGTAATTAATTCAAGAACTTAGGCCCAGGACAGATGGCAGGACAGACACTTGGACTGGAGGTGAGCTAAGGGGCTTCCTGAGTCTCACTGTAAAGCCACTCTGATTCTGTTTCACACGTTTCCAACAGCAACACCAGTTAGCCAGTTTGGGATGGATCCCAAGGGAACTAAGAATTGGAAGAACCTGTCAATAAAGAGTTAAACACACACCCTAAGAGTTGCCTCAAAGTGCTATCCATACCCAGGCTTAGGGAGTAAAACAAATCTCCATTTTTCCCAGTCCATTTAGGGATCTGTGGCTACCTATCTGGCTATGAAAGAGTTGTTTTTGTTGGACGATACCATGTGTGGATTAGAACTTTTCATCAGGATAGAGTGAAAATCAGTTCTTACAGCCTCCAGGGACTTCCTTTTGCAAGTAAACAAAACCCCAATCACTGCCTTCTATCCCCTCTCACCAACCAACCCACCCCAGCCACTGCAGATTCTGATCCTCCAGAGCCTTTTGCTTCAGTTTCCTCCCCTGGAATATTCTCCCTTCAGCACCTCACCAAGCTTCCTGCCTCTAACTGTTCAGGTCTTCATCAGAAGTCACCTTCCCAGACAGCCCCACCTGCTCCCTCCAGAGAGAGCTCACCCCTCACTTCCACAACCCACTGTCTGTCCTATGTTGCTATTTTATTTTCTTTCTGAATTCTTATTTGCTTCCTTTTGTTTTTATCTCTCTCCTTTGACTAGAACGTAAGCTCCATGAGGGCAGGAACCTTTCTCTGTCTTATGCACCATGGTATCACCAGTGCCAAAAATCATTACCAGCACAGAATAGAATATTTATTGAATGAAGGGATGAATGAGTTGACATAGAATGGAACTAAACTTCAGTCAGGCTCCTGAACCTTCTCGTAGGCCCATCTGTCCACTTATAGAGTGGAATTGTAGTAAAGAATCCAGCTATGTCAATTTAGCAAGAACCCCCACCCTCAATATCTGATCACCCTGGTATCTGATCAGGTTCTTCATCCTCCTCCACCTCCCAGGTGATGTCTGATCACTCTGATCTATCTTCAGCAAGAATCTTGTTAGTCAGATTAGCCAGAATCCCCTTATCCCTGATGTTACTGCTCAGTAATTTTCCATTCATTGACTCCCACCC